ACATTTGCTTCTGTATTAAAGCAATCATTGATATAGTCTTACCAAGTCCCTGTGATGAGAAAAGCACACCATTCTTTATAAAACTGTGCATGTGTAAACAACAAAGTAATAATATCATGTACTAGCAAATTGTTGAAGAACAGTTAAATCCCTAAGGAAAAAAAACCTGATCATCTGCAAGAATTCCACCAGCACAATGAGTACTTTTTTCCTTCTGAACCATCCAAGCTAAGGCTATTTTCTATCAAACATGATAGTTAGGAACCAAAGTTCAAAATTATAGGGAAATAATCCAAATATGATTGACACTTCCAGTATATAGACTACCTGGTGCTTTAAGAGAGGAACAGCCAGAAGCCCCTCAGGCAGGTCATCTTCTAATCTTGGTTGACCAAGATTCTGCAGGGAAAAATAAAACAGAACCAACGCTATATCATAAGTTTTTCATATTAAAATGACCCAAAATGCAGTCAAGGCCCCCTGAACATAATACAATCACTAAAGCACAAAATAGGAAGTTAAAACAATCTTGAAACTCAAGAACAAAATAAAAAGTGTAGCTACCTTAATCCAAAGTTCAACCTTGAACTTATTGTCTAAGTTTTACTAAGATATACCTAAGATTTTAAAAAGCAGATGCACTATGCTGCATTGTGCTATGCAATATCTCTTTACTGATAAACAAATACAACTCAAAATCAAATTAGTATCCTCAACAGCCCCACCTCCCTCTCTCGATAGCCTCCACGGACCCTGACACCCGCTCCCTCTTACTACTCCCGGAAAGCTTCACTCGGGCATCGCCTCTCAGCCGACAGCCATCTTCTCCTTTCTCTGATTCTCCCCCTCTCCTTCCTTCATGTTTTCCCCTCCCTCTTTCTCCTCCTCCTCTCCTCTATCATCGCCCCCCGCCAAACCTCCTGGTCAGCTCCTTTTCCCTCCCCCTCTCTCCTAGTCCTCCTCATCCTCCTCCTCCCCGATAGCTCCCATCCAAGTCCCAGTTGACAGCCCTCTTCTTTCCCATTCAACCCCTAGTTCTTCCCAGGCTTCTCTCCCACCTCTATTTCTTTCTCCTTTAATGCATATCATTGTTAAAAATAGTTATTTTTTTGCTAATATAGTTTATGAATTGTTTACAGGATTAAATTTGTAATTGCTAGCGTTTTGGTGCTTTAAATATTTGTAATTTGATGTTTTAGTGGTACTATTTAAAGTATGAAATGATATAGAACTCATGTATTCTCTTTTTTTTACTTTAGTGATCATATTTATCCTTAATTATATTTTTAATAATTTTAATATTAGCAAGTATCTCGGGTGAGTGGACAGTGGCTTGAGCATTTTGGAACCTTAGCACCTTTGACTACCCTGCTAAAATCTAACCATCATGATTTCCTCTAGTTGTTTGTCTTTTCCTTTAACATATAAAAATTCTATGTGTGTGTGTGTGTGCATATATATATATATTCCATGCTGAAGGTGAGTAAATTTGGATCAAAATCAAAGGTTCAAGCCTTGCTGAAACTATAGTGCTCAAGTCTCAGATCAATCAGCAAGAAGATAAAACAATAAAGCTAACTATGCAAATGACAAATTATATCATCTTCTTATGTGCTTGAATGAAAGGTATAAGCATCCATAAGCAAGATGGAAACCTAAGTCTAGTCTCGATGCCTTGCAGTAAGCCCTGGGAACCTCACATCAAAAGGTTAGGAGCCATAAGGATCAATTACTATGTCAGAGAATAAAGAACTGTAGTGTGGGAAGCAGAAGTTTTTTCACATCTGTGAAACTGGAAAAGTTGGAAGAAATTACTTCCATATTTCCTATACTGGTAGCTGGCTTTCAATCCTTGTTTGTTTGATAGCTAAAGCTGATTCATGAAATCAAACTAAAAGGTGGTTCATAAATAAGGAAGCAAAGACAAAAAAACACAACAAAGAATTAGACAGAAAAAATTCTACTGGGAAGCAGTGAACATTTCTATGCAGCATAGATTTCTTCCTACTGGATATGATGGATAATCCAATTGACATAGAGAGAGAAGTTTCATTAGCTCATAATGAAATGAAATGTTTGATACAAGGACCTGACTGGTTGTTGTATAAAAGACGAGAAATAATGGATGAAACTCAAAATAAAAATGTTTGGCACTGTTATTGGATTGTAAAGGATTGATCTCATGATGGTTTGGAGACAAAATTAGACTACAAAAGTATACTAGGAAGAGTGAATAGTTTAATTTCAGAAATTGTGAAAATGCACCGACTTGATTTGGTTCTTCAGCTTGTGGGGAGAACTAAAAGAGTTCTGTTCTTGACTCTAGAATAAAAACAAAGTTGTGGAGTTGCACTTGAACCCCAAGAACAAGAGTGTTCCTAGTTTGATCTCTGCCAACAGATGTAGGCTATTGTGTCAAACCACTACAAACTGATATCTTATTCTTTCACTGGACCGCCATTCTTTTTCACCAGACTACTAATACACATTGGCTTAAATGGTTTTGAATTTTTTTAAGCTTAGCAGTAAGCACTAGTTCATTCCTAAATCTCTATTGCACCCACTAGTGTCTATTGAATCTCGGATTTTGATGATGAAACCAATTGATAAGTGTTTATGTTTTAATCTGCGTTTTTGAGTGACGCAGAATGCTTCGCTTAGGATGAGACAATTAAAGCAGGAAAAATCACGTTGGGCCGAGGGAAAACATGTCAAAAGATTGGACGTCGAGCCGGTGGATCGGTCGATGTATCGACAAAAGGCTTCGAGTCATGGATTCGGGTATCCGGCCAAGAAGAGCAGATATTGCGCTAAGGATATCAGAGTTGCGGAGTCAACTGGCCGATTGGGCAATAGGCCGCAAGAGAGAACGATGCGCCGAAGAATCGGACGAAGCGTCGAGGGACCAATGACATGTCGGACAACATGATTAATGCTTAGTATTAATTGTCTAGATCGAAGTGTGTTTTACATGTGCAGGATTAACTACGATAGCAAAGCATAAAGCAAAATGAAGTTCTGGAGTCAAGGACGCGATTTCATTGGGAGTTCGAGAGTTCGTCGGAAGTTCTGTCGGAACCAACCGAGAAGTCTCGGAGCTTGCCAGAGAAGCTCGTCGGAACTCGCCAAGAAGATCGTCGTGAAGTCCAAGAGCTTACCGGGACTCCGCCGGAACATTGCCGAGAGATCGTCGGAAGTTCGCCGGAAGATCGTCGGAAGCTCGCCGGAAGAAACTAGACTTACGGACTTGTTTAGCTTAGAAAATGTCTTAGGAATCGTAGTTAGCACGTAATTGGGATTGGATTTGGGCCAACCCAATTAGGAGTCAGTTGGGCCCAATGAAAAGGCCCAAACAGTGCCCCAAGAGGTGACACCATCGTGGCACAGTCTCCGAGACTGTCAAGCGGTGGTACCGCTGGTCTGGGCAGTGGCACCGCCCAGACACAGCCTTCGAGAGGCTGCAGGCGATGGTACTGCCAGTCTGGGCGGTAAGTAACCGCAATACAAGAGGCTAAAAACCTAAACAACCTACCACTTGAAGAACTAATTGGGTCTTTGATGGCCTATGAAATGACTAATGTGGCACTTGACGAACATGAGAACTACCTTCCAAAGGACATGAAGGATTTCGGACTAAGAATAATCAAAGACCACTTGAGCATAAGCTCAAGTGATGGTGAACTTGAACTACTCACTAATAAATTTAAAAAGTTCATGAAACAAAAATTAAAGAACAAAAAGAACGCAACTACTTGCTTTAAACGCAAGAAGAAGAACACAAATTGGGATGAATCGAGCTCCTCCGAAGACGAGGAAAAAATCAACAAAGGCGATGTGGCAAACTACACCTTAACGGCTTTCGACGATGAGGTCATCAAAATACCTTTAGTTTATTTCGAAATTACATGATGCTTTTAATGAGTTATTTTTAATTTAGTTTAGAATAATTATTTTTGAAAATTACATGTTTAATATAATAAAAATGCTAAAAAAATGGGGATCATGCTAGTAATATTGAAAATAATCATGAAAAATATATATTTTATGATAAACAAACAGAATGATTTTGATTGAAAATATAAAATCATGCTTGATGATTTAATGATGCATAATGATGTTTTGATACCATGATTGATGATTTTATTCTATGCATGAGATTTTAAAAATTATGCATGATGACTCTTGCGATTTATGGATTATCGATTTTTTATCATGATGAAATATTACTTTTTCGGTTTTAAATAAGATGGAAGGTTTTCATACAAAAACTTGAGCATATTAATTTGAAATCATGTTTAATGGTTTTATATTTTGAAATTATGAATAATGATTTCTGGGTGATTTATACCTTATTGAACTTTGTCGTAATAAATTTTGCACTTTCGGTTTTAAACATGATACATATTTTTATTTGGCATATATGAAATCAATCATATGAATTTCAAACACTAAAAAGAGGAAAGCTTTCTCCTTGAAAATTTTTTTTT